GGCTGCCCCAACAAAGGGTAGCAGGACGGTTTGTTCACCCTCTCCCCGCTGTCTCCCTCTCATTGCCCAATCTTCCCAAAGTCCCCTGGCCTGGCTAGCAGGGGACATGCAAATAGGCAATACAGAGCCATAGCCTCGGAGGGTATGTCTACACTGTAACAAAACGCTTGCGGCACCAAATCTCAGAGCCCGGGTTAGATGGCGCTGGGCTAGCGAGCTAAAAATTGCGGTGTCGACTTTCGGGCTCAGGCTGGAGCCCAGGCTCTGAGACCCACCCCCTTCGCAGTCCAAGCCCAAATGTCTAAATGGCAATTTTTAGCTCTGTAGGCAAAGCCTGAGTCAGCTGACCCAGGCCAGCCACGGCTGTGCTGAGGGTCTCTTATCCCAGGCAGTGCAACAGGCTTGAAGGCCACGCTAAACGGGAATCACTGGCCTGGGTTAAGCAGCAGGTCAGAGCAGACGATTATCACTGTACCTTCTGGCCTTACTGGCTAGGAAACCCTGCACCTCAAGACCCTCCCCATCCTGTCCTTGCTTCCAGGCCCCATTTTGGATTCCTTCCTGCTCAGCTCCCAGAGGCAGCACTCATAGATGAAAGTTACTGGAGCGTCTGTGCACAACCCTCGCAGCTCCTCGAATCCAGGCCCCAGCATACGAGAGCTATTCTCAATCCTGGCACTAGCCTGCCATCCCAACTGCTCCCTGCCAGAGACAGGGGACAGAAAGATCAGGCCACAGAACAGGTCTGGAGGCTTGGCTTGGGTTTCTCTCCAACGCTGATCCAAGTTGTCTTTCGACGAGGCAGAGGAATACGCTGTCCGGTTTATCGGGTGACAAAACTGACCCACTTTACGGTGGTTGCCCATCCCAAGTGGGACACTGTAAAAGCCTCCTTCCCGCACAGGACACAGCTTAGGTCAGAGGTAACATTAGCAGCGCTCAGAGAGCCACCCCCAAGGAGGATGGAAAGGGCAACACGGATCCCTCTCAGCACTACGGCTCCTTACGCTGAAAAGTGCCAAAGCCACCTGGAGACGTTTTCTCGCAGAAGCCTGTGGGCCATGGGCAGCATCTAAGGGAAGCCACAGAACGAGCCACAGCAGGACCTGGGCAGCATTATGAGCTCACGGGCAAGGAGTAAGGCTAAGATTTTGTCCTGGTTATTTTTAGTAAAAAAGTCAGGGACAGGTCACGGGCAATAAACAAAAATTCACGGAAGCCCGTGACCTGTCCCTGACTTTTACTGAAAATAACCAGGACAAAATGGAGCCCTGGGGGCCTCCACCACCCATGGCGACTGTGAGGTGTGGGGCCTCCACCGGCTGACAGCTCCAGCTCCACCACCCCAGGGGCTGAAGCAGAAAATGTCATGGAGGTCTCTGGAAATCACAGAATCTGTCATCTCCATGACATAATCTTAGCCTTAGCGATAAAACAAACAGTTCTGTGCAAATCTGCTTTGGATTATGGAAGTTAGAGATGGGTCCCATCAAATCCATCCCCCAGAGTCATGGCAGGACCGCTTCCAACGGTGCTTTTATAGCTTTTAAGGCAAGCAGTAGGGCTGGGTGAAAGTTTTCCATCTAAACTGTTTTTCAACAGAAAATTTGATTTTTGATTAAAAGATGTTTTTTCACAAAAAGCGTCTGCTTTCTGTGGAAAATTTCAAATTCTGATAACAAAAATCAAACACCCCAAAATCAAGTTATTCTGTCTAAAACCTGAAATATTTCTATTTAGATATCCTACATCAAGAGAGTTTGGTGCCTCATGGGAGTTGTAGTTTGGTTTCCTCATGTGCCCGTTCTCCTCTAGGGACTGGGCTCCGCAGCCGGGCTACATCTCCCAAGGACTCCCATGATGAGGAGAGATAGGGAGACTGGGAGGTGCACAAGGAGCAGGGACATGGTGAGATTACATAGCTCCTTAAAGGTGAAGATGAGGCACTTGGCTTGGATGGGGGCACAGACAGGGAGCCAGCAGGAGGTTGGAGGATGGGAGAGAGGGGACTGAACAGCTGGAGAGGACGTTAGCAGCAGAATCCTGGAGAGTGTGGAGGGGAAGGAAAGGAGGTCACAGGAACCAGAGCAAGGCAAGCTAATCGCAGACCTGGAGAGAACAGAGGAAAGGGGAAGAGGTGACAGGGAGCCCCACAGCTGGAAAAGCAGGAAGGTTCTGGGTCAGGATCGAGGGCGACAGGAGGCGGTGTTTGCGTGAGGTGCCTCAGGGCTGGAATAGCAGAGGAACTGCAGGAAAGGATTATGAGACAGCGACAGAGCCAGTGAATTTGCTGCACCGGCTCAGGGCCTCACTGAACGTTCAGACAGGTACATTTCCTGTCCTTTTGTTAACCTCAGCACCTCACAAGTAGCAAGCCAGGAGTCCCTAGGCCCCAGAGCTACACCCCTCACACCTGCCTCCTTCCACAAACCCCAGAGAGAAACCTCCTGCGCCAACCCTGGGATTTTAGACAAGACCTCACCTCTCGCCCAGCTCTGATCACAGACTCCAGCACGGCTCCTGAGTAGCAGATGGAGGATTCAGGAATATCTGCATGGCTACAAAGACAAACCAAAGCACAAGGAGCTGTGAGATGTGTGGGGCCCCACCCTCAGAGGTCCAACCTCCTGCAGAAATACACCCCCATCACTGGAGCCCTGAGAATTCATCCTCCAAGGAAGGTTAGGGTTACGAGATGGAAGGGATCTAACACGTCACCGCATTCCGCCCCCGCCCAGGGCAAGGAGTTATCAGGAACACACCCAAAGGAACATGGGTTCAGAACTGCTGGAAGAGCTCAGAGAATGACAGGCTTGCTGGGTCCACGGCCAAAGCTCCCAACCTGCCGGTGGCGCTGCAGCTGCTGTTCTCGGATCTCTGCGGGGCAGGGCTGGAAGGGACCAGTAGAGCCCAAGGAAGCTTTTAGTTCAGGGTGAGGGTCTCGTTTTTGGACACTAGGCCTAAACTGCCAATTGCAGATGTTCAACGCACTGGGTGGATGAACACCCTGCACGGATACAGCACCTGCCATCTTAAGGTCTCGGAGAACTTTACAAGGGGGTAAAATCCCCCTTTTAGAAATAAGGAAACTGAGGCACAGAAGAATGAGGCGACTTGCCCCCCACCCCCCAAGGTCACACAGAGCCAGTGGCAGAGCTAGGAATAGAATCCAGGAGTCCCTCCTCCCAACAGCCCTGGCTGTATCGACGGGGTAACGGCAGCTAATTGCCGGCATCCTCCTCGAGGCTCAAACCTCACCCAGTTACCCCTGTCCTGAGCCCAGTGACTTGTGTCTGAGAACAGCGTAAGTCTTGATGTGACACGGGGTGACCCCCATCCGCACCAGAGCTGGGACAGCCACGCAGAGCGAACCCGGTTCCAGCCAGCGGCTAACCCACCAGCTGACCCTCCGCTCCACAGTGCCCCTGACCAGGCAGCGCGGCGGTCGCTCCAGAGCCACCGTACCCTACTCACAGCCACAGCAGGTGCTTGACAATCTGCTCTGGGATGAGGCGCTTCTGGCACATGGTTTCTGCGCCCCACACCACGGCCTCGCAGATAGCGCCGTCCTGGAACCGCCTCAGCTCGGACTTCTCCCCCCAGAACTTCCGGAACTCGGCCGCCTGCGGAGAGAAGGGTCAGAGCACTTAGGGGAGCAGGCCGCAGGTTCGAATGCAGCCCATAGCAATTCCAACCGCCAGTTGGGGGGGAGGGAGGGATGCTCAGACTGTGCCCTGGGGCCCAGCAGCCACTAACATGGACTGAGCAGAGTTGGGCACACAGGGGCTTGGTAGGCAGAAAGAGCCTGCCAGGGAGTGACCACAGCCCCCAGTTCTATTCCAGTGATGCTCCAGGCCCCCGTATGCCCAGGATCTGGCTAAAGCTGATGCAGCAGAGACCCCCCAGCCCGTGGAACTGCCCCAAGGCCTGAAGCTTTTCCCTGTTATTATGTCAGAGTTGGGTCCGATCCTGATCTGCCCGGGGGCGGAGGAAGAGATCGGGTGCAGGGTCTCAGTTCAGCTCCATCGCTCCTCTTCCGGACTCATCCCTTTGAGCGCGTGCCCCCCACCCCTTTGCAACCCTCCCCGGCGTCCCCTCCTCCAGCACAAACACAACACTGCGTCTTGCTCCCCGCGCCTTAGCTCCGCCTCTCCTATCGCCACCCACAAACCGATAGCGAGGGCTCAGTTCCCCTCTCTGCTTTGCCACAGCTGCCAGTCGCAGTGTCCAATTTCTCTTCCGGCACTGTGGCGCTTCCTCCCGGCCTGCCCCGACGCCGGGACGGCGCTCCCTGTAAACACCCGCAAAGCCGCCATGCCGTCCTCCTTCCGGCCCCTCTTTAACTCGCCCCTGCTGCCATGCCGACACAACGCTCGGCAGCCCACGTGCTGGGGTCGTTGCTTAGCGCGAGGATTGCCTGCCAATCACCTGCTCCCCCACCCGCATCTCCCTGCTGTGTCTGGTACTTGCATCGTAAGCTGCTTGTGCCAGGGAACCGGCTTTGTTAGCCCTTTGTACAGAATCTAGCATGACAGGACCCTGAGCGAGGCTTCCAGGGGCTCCTGCAATGTGAGCGCCACCCCAACCCTGGGTAGGAGCAGCCTCGTCCTCACCTCTGGTCGATCTGCCTCTGGTCCCTTCTCCAAAATGCTAGCGGCAAACTCAGGGGTGAGCAAGAGCCCGAATGACAGGTGTCCAGCGTCCCTGTGCTTCGGGGGCTCTGCGCTGATAGGCCACTGGGGAGAAGCAGGGAATGCAGCGTGAACGGAGACACCTTTGCTAGAGCAGCATCTGCTCGGGCACCACTGCCCCTCTGCTGGGTAGATCCACCCCACCGTCCTGCTCCCCAGAACCCCTGCCCTCTGGAGCCAGGCAGACGGGGTGGCTATGTACTCAAAAGCTCTCCCCCATGCAAGAGCCCTACCCCGGCCCCCACCAGCCTCTGCTGTAGCGCTGCCAGGCAGGGGCCTGGTTATCCAGATCAGCTACAGCCCAGCAATGCAAGTTCTCTCACTACCCCCATCACCAATGGGTCTCAATCCCTGTCTGGGAGGGACCCCACCGAAAGAGGGGAAAGGGAGGGATGCAATCCCCATGGCCTCTCTGCTGAGACCACCAAGCCAGGACAACAGGGAACTGGACGGAGCTCCACCTGTCTCGGTCAGCAAACAGCTACAACTTTTGACAAGTTTGGTTCAACTTTTGACCCTGGACAGGATTTGAACCAGCAGTCTGGAAGATAACCAGACCCCTCTGGGAGGGGCACAGGGCGAGGACTCTCCCTTCCCACCTTTCCCCGGGCAGCACAGCAATGGAAGGAGACAGGAGGCCCGAGTGGGCAGGAGAGGGGGCACATTAGAGAAGCAGCTGCTGCGTTACACAGGAGGCTCTGTGAAGGGGGAGGGGGGAGTTACCTGCGGTGCCTGGGGCAGGGAGTGCGTCAGCAGCAGCACCCTCTCGGCCAGCCCTCGCGCCAGCAGGGAGGTGACGAAGGGCAGGGCTGCAGCTATATAGTTCCCGCCTCGATCCATCAGCTCATTCAACAGCTGCATCTTCTTGCAGGCTCCCTGCAGCTTGGAGACGTGCTTCAGGCTGCGGCGAGGGAGGAGAGAGCCTCAGTCACCTTGGGAAATGCCCCTGGGCTTCCCTCTGCCAAGCCACTTCAAGGCAGCGGTGCCTGCAGGATGCTCCCAAGGTAGGAGGGATGCTGGGAGGGGGGCACGGGCCAGGAACTGGGCTACACTCACGGGATCGAGTGCCCACAGCATCATCCAGGTAAAGTCTGACACAGCATGGACCAGCGAAGCTGGGATTCCCAGCTCTCCCCCAGTGTGTACTGGGAGTTCCCAGCCCTCGTGGCTCAGCGGAGATCAGACCCTGAAATGGCCACCTAGGCCAGCCCAACCAAACAGCTGGGATGTGTGCACAGCACACCCTGTCTGAGGCAGGGGAGCAGGGGGTGCCACCCTGATCTGCAGGGGGAGTAGGAGGCAGCTGGGAGGGTGGATGACGACCACAGAGTTACCCGGGCCGCATCTGCGCTGCGCTTTTGCCAGGATCCCACGCTGAGCCTGGGACAGTCAGCTGCTCTCTGACCGATCCCCCCCACACCATCCCCAAGCCACGGTGACCAGACTCACTGGAAGACATGGTCGAAGGTTCTGATCGGGGGCTTGGGGGTCATGAGCAGCAGCTGGAATCCGTCCACTGTTCTGTCGTCCAGAACTTCCATCGAGCGCTTGGCTTCGAACTGGACCTGAGGGAGGGGCAGTCGTGAACGGAGGGTAGGGGAGAGTTCATTCCACTGGCAGGCCGAGCGTAGGTCCTTCAGCGCCTGAGAGCACCCTGGCTCCCCGGTCATCTACAGCCCAGCTGCAACCCACACCCCATCCCGATCTGGGGGGGAGCCCACAGGGAGTCCTGGCTCTGAGCCCAGCCAATCCTCGGCCCCAGATCTCACTGTTGGGCAGGAGGCACCCTAAATAAAATGACTGCAGGTTGGAGCCAATTCAGCTTAGTAAGAAGAAGGCACAAGGCTCCAGTGCGGAGCTCGCAGATCCACCTCTGAAGCATGAGACTCAGTTCCGGGGCTAGAGCCAGGAACAGCCGTGCCTGGGGAGCGGAACCCGGATCCCTCATCCCGTCCAGCGGGGTCTCTGCGTGGCCAGCTCAAAGCAGCCGTTTCCCCCCACACACACAGTGGCTGGTTATTTTGGGCCCCCGACATTAACCTCCCATCGCCCTGGAGGGTAGCAGTATGTTCTGTGCCTCGAGGAGTTCAGGGCTGTTAATCTAGAGACGGAACCGTCTCTCGGGATGATCGGAGACTGCAGAATGAACTGCCCCAGGAGCTAAGGACTATCACAAACCTCACCACTTTCCACTCCAAGTGCAAGGAGCAAGTCTTTGATCTGCCTTCTCCAACGTGAATATAAGAATGGCCATAGTGGGTCAGATCGATGGGTCATCTAGCCCAGGATCCGGTCTTCTGACAGCAGCCAATGCCAGATGCAATGAACAAAACAGGGCTATTTCGAGTGAT